GGATTGGTTTCGGGTTAATCGCCCACGGAAAGCCATATCGATCCTCGCAAGTATGTTCGCAGCCACTCAGATTACAGCGTGGGAGCACTGGGAGGAGTATCCTCCTTACACGATGTCACTTGATGGCTCGAGAAACCTGGTGGGGGGATTGGTAGGGAGTTCCTGTACGGGGAGGAGGGCGGGAAGAAGGAAAGCGAGAAAAGTAGTGTAAGGCAGGACGGACTTTCAGACGGGACAGAGTGGCAGAGAAGTACGTGGGGAGAGGGGATGAAAAACTATTACAAATGGAGAGAAAAAGTCGCGAAGAAAGGAGAGTCGAGGATGGCATGGGGATAGTAGGAAGCGGGGGTGGGGGGGAGGGAGCTTGCATACATGGCGCCGACATAGAAACAAAAAGGCACCAAAATAGTTATGTTCCGCCCATCCTAGTTCTAATACTGACTCGAGATTCAAAAATTCAAAAGCTATATCCATGGGTGAGATCAGACAAGTGGAAATTTTACGCCTATTCAAATCCTACTGAAAATTCACAGAGTTTTCAGGGGTGAATTTGGGAGCATTTATTTGCAAGAAAGGACATGCCAGCGGGAAGCACGACCATAAGCCCCAAAATTCTCAACTGCCGTTCAAAATTCCTATCATTCATTTGCAAGAAGAGACACGCCAACGGGAAGCATGACCGTAAGCCCCGGAATTCCCAACTGTCGTTCAAAATTCCTATCACACTCACGAGTCGCTAAGGCGCGCGTAATTCCTACATAAATTTCTGAATTGCCGAACGAAAATTGCAAAAACGTTCAAAGAAAACAAATCTTGAAAAAGCAGGAGGGCTTCTTCGGCCATTGATTTCATGCATATCGCAAACAAAAAGGAAGGGTACCCCTAAGGCCCGTTAAAGATCGAAAAGTATAGATAACAAAACTTATGGCTTCAAGAGTTCGTTCGGGTATGGAAGCTGGTATATCATAGGTAGAAGAAAAAGTTTCAATTCAGTCTAGCGAATCGAAAAATGCCGACACATGGAAAGACGGTGATGGAACGCTCCCTTAAGTACTTTTCACCAGCCTCCATCCAGCCGGATCTTCAGAGGACAAAGTCACCTCCATAGTGTACCGAAAGGGACATAAATCCATATGGGCATAGCCCAGATCCCAGGGAGTCGTGCACGAAGAGGGATTGGACAAAGGGCAACTCGAGAGCAAAGGGTAACAAAGAAAGAGATGCGTCAAGACACAAATGCGGAGGGTGGGGTCTGGGGGTGGGTGGTGGGCTCAGAGAGTGAGCGGGTGCATTACCACTCACGGCGCCATATTCCATTGCGTTATGGTGAAGACACAGAAGGCACGTTCCACAGTTGCACCAGGTTGAAGAAGCAATCAGGAATCAGCAACGCGTGGCCAGATCATGAACAATCAACATCCTGACTATTGGGGAACGTCGCACCACCTGCACTGATGGCAACAGCTGGAGCTCGCGGCACCCACGATGGTGGGAGCGAACTCAATAGCAGAGGTCTAAGGCACGTTTTGCGATCGGCAGTGCAAGGGGTAGGCGAGAAGCCCAGAATCAATAATTAAAAAAATGGGCGGTGAGCGCGACGCACGTCCGAAAAGAAAGGGCAAACAGGCGGCGCGAAGGCGGGAGCAGCACCAGGACTAGTAGCAAGGCAAAGGAAGTGTCCACCCGGCGGACCACCCTGACTCATAATCCACTCCCAAGGGACACTAAGGAGCACCCTCGGGGATAGACAAACGAGGTCGGGCTACACACTCCGGGACGCTGAAGCCGAAGAGGATGAGAGCTGCCAAAAACTCAAGCTATATACTCCACCGGATAGTGTGAGGGCAGGGTTCCACTGGCCTCGGGAGGGAGCGAGGGTTGAACCGAGGCCCAGGTAAGGCGCTCACCCACTTGGCCCCAAGTAAATAATTGTCATCAGCCGCAGGTCTAACAGTTGTGTCACAAGCCAGCATGGGCCTGGGATTGTCATGATCTAAAAATCGCAGGTCCCAGGTCCACCGGAGGGTTCCCACTGCGGCCTTTGCTCCCGAATCATTTTTGTGTTTTTTTCCTTTGCTTTTCTGAAGGCGTTTCATAAGACAAAGTTACCTTCAATTGAAGGCCAAATTACTCATGGAGTTTACAATTATTTCAGGCCAGTCATTCGCCCCGAGTCAGATCCTGGGCAACCCCACTTCTTCATCAATCATCCGTGACTCCTGTTACATGCTGCGCCTGCACACGGGCCCCATTTGAGGAGCCCGACGGTTGCTGAGGGGCCCCCAGGCCGCGTACCATCCAGCACGCGCCCTGGAGGCCCACGGCGGCCCTCCAGGCCCTAGGCAGCACACTAGGTAGATAGGTTTATTTTACTTACCTTTTTTGTGTGTGTGTGCTGTCTTATTTTTGTCTGTTCAGGTGCCGTTTCGGACTGGCAGTCCCAAGGCCGGACCTTGGGACTAGGTACACCGGAGGCAGACCCGAAACGAGGTCAGGCGCATTTTGGCGCCAAACCGGTAGGTACAGGCGTCGTTTCGGCCCTGCAGGACCCAAGACGACACCTTGGGCCAGGTGCACCGGTAGGAGGCCGTTTTTAGGCCAGGCGCATTTCTGCGCCATGCTGCATCAGCAGCAGGGTCTGGATGTCCGGTAGGGACCCAGACCACCTAGGCCATTTTCTGAGGCTAGCACCAGGTAGGCCCAGCCGCCCAGCGCTACAAATAGCTGGGCCACGGCTGGGCAGGGGACAGTTCGAGTAGCTCACTTCTGGGCGACACGCTGCTGGTGAGGAGAGAACTGCTGCGCTAGGGTGCGGAGTAGAGAGTAGAGAGATAGAGGAGATAGGGAGTGGCGGAGGCCATACCTGCAGTCGACGAGCTTACCTGGCGCCATAGCTGGGCTCCACGCGGTACCTGCACACGACGACGGACACAGTCAGTACGGTGGCAGCGACCTGCAGGTGAGATAGCGAGGAGGACTTCTCCCTCCTCTCTCTCTCTCTCTCTC